TACGACAGAGCCATAATAACAGATAAAACAATTTACCACAACAGACCAGACATCACACTCATTGACAAACACAATAAAATCACATACATTATAGACATATTCATTCCAAGCACTCACAATATACAAAACACATTCACTGAAAAAATTAGCAAGTACACAGAACTCGCCCAGGAAATAAGGCATCTGTGGAGAATGGAAAGGGTGCTTATTGTACCTGTCGTTCTCTCCTGTACATGTGTGATACCACACACACTACACAAAAGCCTGGGAACATTACAATTGAATAGAAATACATACATAACACTAAATGAGACCACTATACTGAATACATGCGGCTTTGTTAGGAAATTCCTGAATACAGACACTGACACACTTATTTAATTTTAGTTTTGTTTTGTTTTGGTTGCTATGCATTGACTCTGGTCCGGCATAGTACACAGCCACCAGTATCAAATGAGTATAACCCACTAAACCCAACATAATAATAATAAGGCTGCTGGAAGGACGGGGTGATGTGTTGTTGATGAATTATCTGGAAATTTAGCCAAGTCAAATTTGTTATACTTTATTCAATAGAGCAACATGATTACAGCTTTAGTATTAGTGACAAAACTGTACAAATTTGTGTACACAAAATATTTTAGGCAATACTTCGGAAGTATCACTATTTATAATTTATAAGTAGTAAAAAAAGGACAAAAAGGCATGTTAATTAAACTTCGGAAGTATGCTTGATTATAGTAAACTGTGAGATAGGCATGAGGTTGCTGTCGAGGATGAAGATGAAATGGAAGAGTTATATAATGCCATGTTCAAATCAGGAGATTCTAGTGATGAAATAGACGAAGAGACTGACGATCGAGATTTTGTCATGACTTTGGGATGTTATGCTGCAATATCAAGAAGACAGGAAAATAAAAGATTATTTGCAAGAAGATTTCAGGGTGTGGAAGGATAATTTCATGTTTTCTCCGTTGTGAACTTAGTTGCATTGTTATTGTTTCATCTTTGTTGCTTTAAACTTTAAATTTTATGCTTTATAAACAATGTTCTTTCAAATAATTGTGTTGCATTTTCATTGAAATTATTTGTTTTACTTTGTTTTGTTTGTACTACTAATGTGTTGTGACTATGCGCAATAACACAGACAAAGAGATAAGACTGTGAACAATACATTTATTGTCTGTTAGGGATCGGTTACATGGTTAATGGCGGGACAACAGTTCAACTACACTCTCATCGCATGACTCCTCGCTGTTGAGGGGTGACCTCATCGTCACATGAAGTGAGGAATGCCCTCACATTGTGTGAATGTTGTAAAGGAAAATATTTGATAATATGTGAATTATCATGTAACATTCTTTACATTTTGTTGAAAATTTCACTTGGAAGGTTTATAAAATAACGTTTTTGTGTTCAATACATAAATTTAATGGGGATTTTTTTTTCAGTTTGTGTACATGAGAGAATATTTGGTTTTTGAATTTCAAATTTTTTGTGATTTTTTTCTGTTCTCCAAAATAATGGAGGAGGAAAATTCATAATTTAAAAGTGTTTTTGTCTTACATTGCTCCTAAATGATAAATACAGGGTGATCATAATTAAATAGAAGTTTGTAGCTCTACAAAAATATTTGAGAAATCCAAAATTTGGTATACATAATGTGCTGAGTTTGCGGTTTTGATTTCAGAGAGTTTTTTCAAAATTTAACTGCTAGGGTAAACTTTTGTGCTGGTGTTCCCTTAATATGCATGTTCTGTGCTTTCTAACAATTATCGGGAGATGAACAGTTTGGAATAGTTTAAGAAGAAGAAGTAATTTGCGATTAGGCAATGTGAGCACTGTATAGATTTAATAATAATAATAATTATTGTTTTTCCTATAAAAAATATGAGAGTTAATATGCTGAATTTATTATTACAAAAAATGTGCTAAAAAATTTTAGATATTACAGTATATAGCAGTATATAGTCTTCAGTAACTTATTGAATACAGTAATATAATGCACAGTATTACAAAGACTTCCAAATATCAAAAACGTTCATTAATTATAATTTTTCTGTTGTCAAGAAATTTTAAATTACTGTTAAACTTTTTGAAAAAATTTGTCCAGGTTATGTGAAGTCTGAGTTAGTGTGGTATATTGTATAAGAAAACTTTAAAAATATTGACAGTGTATGTAGAATGATATATATTTTTTAATTTGAAAAAAGATAACTTATTATGACTTAATTTAAATGCATATTTCTAAAATGTGATTTTAAACATTTATTTTAAGTATTTTCAAAATAATAGATTTAATAATAAATATTTATTAAAATTTTTTCATCACAGGGGACATAATGTATAAGCGAATGGAAGCTCAGAATATTTTGGCTATTGATGTTGGAAGTCAAAATGAAACTGACTTCACCAATTATGGAGATTCATTAGGAATTTTTAAAATGCTGCCATTATCATGGACATCTATAAAGGTTTTTCCTTGATTTTTTTGTGTTTAAAGTTATATCAAACATATGGTGATATTTTTTGCTTATTTTAGTATGAGATACAGGTAATTTGGATACATTATTGTCAAAATTATTTTCAACACTTTATGAAATTTCTTTTTTATCAATATTTTACCAACTAACTCAGTCAGTTAATACAGTCATTGACATAAAAATTAGCACACCAAGAAAGAGTTATCATATTGTAAAACTTGGCATGAAGTAGATATGGAAATGATTAGAGTTATAGATAATGGCTCATTGAATAAGGCCAGCAGAGGGTGTTAAAGTGCATCTCCCTTGGCCTCTAAAAAAGTGCACAAAGGTATCCCATCTGTAGGAGAAGGAAGGACACTGTATCACTAGAGATGCTTTTATGTCACAATCAAAGACTGTATGACCAACTTACTGAGTTTGAGAGGGAAAGGAACATCGGGTTGAGCAAAGCCAAATGGACATCTCACTGAATAGCCTGCCATCCAGGCCATTCTGAAAACACTGTGAGATGTTGGAACCAGTGGACAAGAGAGAGCTTGCACACACAGTACCCAGGCTTGGGATGCCCTTGGCAGACCACTAGCTGAGAGGACCACCTGGTCCTCTGACAAGCATGCACACAGCTGACCGTATCATTGTCTGCCATCTGGACATAGGTGACACCATGATCTATAGATAACAGTATGGTCACACCATTATGCTTTAAAATTGGTAATATGCCACTTTCTGCCAGTAGATGACGTTTGATCACATTTAGCCTGTTTTCTCCTATCAATGCTTTATTAATAAAGGATTGTGGAGAATCATGCGAGTGTACAATGGTCCATGAAAGGCAATACATGAATAAATAACAACAATTATTTATTTTTTTCATGTGAATCATAATATACAGGATTCTTCTTTGCATTCCAACTCTGAGCATTACAAAATATCCAAAATAGGAACAAAGAATAGAGTAAATACAAATCAAGGGAACCCGCTCACAACAATTAAGGAAAGACTGACTTGTAATCTTATAACTAATACTTACACTAAATTATAAACTAAAAGAGGAAAGGAAGATTAACAAAAAGTTTTAGTATTATCATACTAAAACTTTTTGTTAATCTTCCTTTCCTCTTTTAGTTTATAATTTAGAAGAAGAGGTTATAAAGAATACCTGGGTTTTCTGATTGGTATTGATGCTCTTCTGGTGGGGAAACACTATAATTCGTTTTCTGATGATCTTTAATTGGATCTCTTCAATGATCCTCCTTATACAAGGGATGTTCGTCTCTCTCTCTTTACATTAACAGGGTTTTTTTTCCCTCTGCAGGCCACCTTTGTCTCCCTTTGTCCTTCTAGACGACGAGCAGGAGCGTACTTTCACGTCCCCAAGGTGCCAATACTGGTCAATGTCAAATACCTCTTTTGTCGCATCACTAGTATATCTCAAAGGACGCAACCGGGCTGTTGTAGATTTTAAACGTTTCTCACCATAGTCGTAAAAATCTAAATATGTTAAACTTAATAGTCATTTGTTTTCTAACTAATTCGTTTTAGGACCAGGTGTCCTCAGAAATTTCCAAAATTTACAACTATTCGGTCACTCTCATTGAACTGGAAAAATTTCTGTCTTTATTACATTAATAATACGAAGGAATCGTTCTCCACTTTACTCAGCTAGAGATTGGTTCAGATAAGCTTTTAAGTAAAATTTCAGCTCTTTCATCAGGTTTTGTTTATGTCCCCAATTCCCTAATCGCTTAATTATTTAACTACTTCTTAAGTAGAAATAAGTCGAAACCGGTTACTTTGTACTCGAATATTTGTAGTCTCGGGAAAAAGTGGAAAGACAAATTTTTATGACAAACGGATACATAAATCATAAATTTAAGGAAAATAAATTCTGGAGCTTTTCTGTACCTCGTGCATCTCTCTCATTCATTAAATTTAGTTGTAAATGATGCTACCAAAGTAACAGTTAATTTTTTAACATTATACAAGAATTGTACACGTTTTTTTCTACATCCCCTTAAAGATGGGATGTACGAAATCGTAATATCACTGGTTTAACATCGAAATCCGTGAGTAATATAAAATCGGAAAGCGGAATAAATATATCAAATATTTTAATGGATTTTTTTAACTCCTGTCAACTATACAGAACTATCGTAAAAACATACCAGTAAATTCTTATCGGTTGGGTTAAGTTATAAATCTACTCGTTATTCACGTAATCGAAATATCTAGTGGGCAGGCGGCTAACAGCCCAGAACCGGTCCTTGATAGAATTGGAATCTTTATATGTGTGCAGCTTTCACCCAAGGTCGTAGGCTTCCACCGGCTAAACCGGGTGAGGTTGGTGCTCTGTAAAGCGCATGCGCAAATCTGGCTTTTCGTAATCTGAAAATACAGGAGATTCCACTCCGCCACTAATATTCTAATATACAATAGCAATTTTTTTTTCCCGTGTAGTATAGAAATTTGTAATAAGATACATAATGCAGTTATAATAAAATATTGTGTGATTATTTTCATATAATTAAAATTAATATGTATTTATTTTTTAGAAAATACAAAGGAAGCAGCACATCCACCGCTTTCAGTGACGGCACGCCACTGCAGTGTAGCCTGATTTACAACCAGGGAAAAAATATCTGGGCATTATTTTCAACTTCAACTAAAATAAGATATGAATTTACATTATTTGTAGTTTTATATAGAAATATTGTACTTATCATAATAATCTGTATTTACCTCAGTTAAATTACTGTGAAAAAAATAGCAGAAAACCATTCTAGAAAAAAAGATGAAAACTCATTTCCCCACATATATTACAAGAATTGGGTGATGTTCAATCGAAGCACTAGTGATGAAAAGTGGCATGACCATACTGTTATCTTTAGAACATGAGTGGCACCATTACAAGCCCCTGTATTTATCTGTATCATTTTGAGGCATCTGATAAGGAACATTTGGTATTATGATAACCATTATGTGTGCTGCCATTGACAGCCACCTACCATTGCCTCCATTTGGAGTGGTGTCACTCCAGATGGGATTGAACCACAATGGAATGAAACTGGATCATCTACAGTGACAAATCCAGGTTCAGTTTGGGCACTGACAATGGCCATGTTTGTCTGGAGGCCCTGTGGTAAATGCCTCAATCCTGCCACACTTCCCTAGCCTGCCGGTTCCCTGATTTGTTACTAATCAAACAGCTGGAATCACTTGGGATGCCAAGTTAAATAGCCTAGGAGTTTGATGACCACTTAATGATGGTCATCAAACTCCTAGTGGTCAACTAGATGATGGTCATCAAACTCAAAGTGGTCAACTAGATGACCACTTGCAGCAACTGTGGACTGAATGTCCACAGTTGCTGCAAGGATAATGCCACAGAACACCACACAGCACCTGTAAGCCTCCATGCCAGCCTGTATCACATTGTGTATTCATGCTAGAAGTGGCCCAACAGGGTACTAGAACCTCCTTTCATTTGTAGTTTTTCCCGCAATAAATGATCCATTTGCTTTCATTTATAATCACTTACTTATATCATGACTAGCAGGTAGGCCCAGCATTGCTCAGGCAAAAGTAACGCTAGCGAAGTTAAGATTATTACATTATAGTCAACCTTATCCGTTTTCACAGAATGCATCGTTTCCCCGTTTCTAGACTAATTACAGAATTTTTAGATGGGTCTAAAATTATGTTCGATTTCCCACAAAACAAAAAAAACCGCATCTGCTTCTTGCACGTCGCTTTCTCTTAGCAATTCCATTGTTACGTAACACTTCCATTGTTGACACTTTAGTTCTTAACACTTCCATTGTTGACACGTCCATTGCTGACACTTCAGTTCTTAACACTTCCATTGTTACTTAACACTTCCATTGTTGACACTTCCATTGTTACTTAACACTTCCATTGTTACTTAGCACTTCCATTGTTACTTAACACTTCCATTGTCGAAACCTTAATCCTGTCTCTCTCCCCCAGGGGGGAATTTCGAAAAATCCCTTCTTAGTGTGCGTTTTTGTGAGGTACCCTAATTGTGTACCAAATTTCAACTTTCGTTTGTGCTCTGCGCTTATTATTATTATTATCATTATCAACTCGTCTCAATTATATATATAGATTACACTCATACATGTATAATTTCATTCAATTCTGACAACAACTCCTTGGTGTGCTAATTTTTATGGCAATGAGTGTATAGAACCATAAGCAGTTAACTGTAAATTTTGCAATTTTTCAATGATAGAATATTCCTACTATTTGTGACCATAAGCATATATGTAAAACTCCAGTTATATAAAATAGCAAATTTTTGATTGGTGTCTTCCAATTTTCACATTGTTTTCTGAAAATTATGGTTTTATAGTTAGGCGTTTATGTTTCCACACCCACGTATAAACTTTGTAACTAGAAGAAAAACATTTCTCAAATGTAGCAATCTTTGTAAATCATCTCAGACATTAGTAACAGTTGTATAGTTGTATCCATAGTTGTATCTTATGATTGAGTAAATGAAAAAAGTAATGCAAAATAGATCAATGGCAAAATCTGAAGCCTTTGATACTTACAATAAATTTGAGCATTTTTTTGTAGTTCTTTTTTTTAATTACAGTTTGGCTTCACTTGACACAGAATATTTTGAGTACAAAAATCTCTTACAAAAACAGTGATGTGGTCAGTTAAAATGTATTCTTTCATAAGTTACCAGAAAAATGTGAAAACTCAAAAAGTTAAATATTTTATATAATTATAAAGTATCAAAGTTTGATGTTCAATGCCTCAAAGAATGCCACAGCATCTAATCAGTTGATTAATTTAAATGCTACTTTTAAAGATGTTTATTGTTACTAATTTGTTATACATTATTTTAAATTATAGCATCTTTTGTTTTCTTGTTCAATCATTAAATTTTTAATTAGTATTTATTAGTTTTAGATATATTTATTAAATAACTGTGTTGTTTAAATAACTAATTATTATAAATGTCAAAGCAGTTCTGGAGAGCTTCATAAAGCAGTTCAAAAGGGTGGGATTGAACTGCTATTTAAATAATAATCAATCATGGATAGTATTTTAGACAATCTAAATGATTAAAAAGTTTCTCTGTCATGTATATAAATTGTAATTAATTAAAAGATATAAACAGTATTGAATCCAGAATTTTCTTCCAAAGAGAATATAAAATCCTTTCAAAAAAATTTATTTTCTATTGGCTTATTTTATAACATATCTCAAAACATTATTTTTTTTGCTGGACAATACAGTTTTTTATTGCAATTTCAGATTCCAAATGTTTTTGAAATCCAGTCCAGATTAGCTTATATATGCTGTCAAAGACAACTGGAACATTTAAAGAATAGTAATTATTGCACTTATCTCAGACCTCCAATAGATTCATATGATACATTAGATTTTGAGAAATTTGATGAAATTTTTGTAAGTATTTTATATTGTTGAATAGAAATCTAAAATTATATTATTGTCTAATTAAAAATTTATATAGTATCTATATTTTAATTCTGCTTTCAATCCTTATATTTAATCAAATAATTTATGAGAATAGCAATTGTTTGATTAAATCATATCAGCTATTAGTGATTATACAGGTAAAAAGTAGAAAACAAATATTCTTTATTCACAAAAATATAAATATCTTAATTTTAAAATACTTTATTTTCATAGAAACTTAGAACTAAATTGAACTGTGTTGACAAGTCATTTTAACAAGAGTTATTACTTATTGATATGGTGTATGTTCCAAAGTTTAACATATAAATTTGTGATGAAAAACTGATTTCAATAAAACATTTATAAAATCATTTCAAACTACAAGGCATTCAATGCAGCTGAAAGTTGTTAAATCTGTTGAACTACATTATAAATATGGTGGATGAATTCTAGTTTTTTATTAATGTTATTGTCGACTGTTTAAAGGTAGTAATTATTATATAATCAATGTATCTAAAAAACAAAAATTGTGACTATTATAAAATCGAATAAGAGTATGTGATAAAAATAATGAAATTGAATTGATAAAAGTAAGTATTATCCACTTTCTGCATGTTTAAAGTTTGAAATAAAAAGTAATAATTATTCTAGTACTTATGAAACTGTGCCGCTAATTGTTATGCAATCTTGAACACAAACTATATAGTGTATTCACTCAGACACAAAGCAAATCTCATCATTAATTTTTATTTAGTTTATTTAGTTAATTTTTATTTAGTCAACTAAATAAAAATTAATGATGAGATTTGCCTTGTGTCCAAATGAATACACTATATAGTTCATGTTCAAGGTTGCAGAGTAATAATTATTATTGAAGTTGTTATTTCCTACAGATATGATGACAGCTGTCATAAATTTAGTGCCTTAACATGTTTTAAATATTCTCAACCATCAATTTTATTAGTTTTTTTTCTTAGCATATTGTTTATTGAATATGTGTCTTAACATCATAATAAGCAAATCAATGATGTATTGGAACAAACTCTTATCTGTATGACTACGATCACTGCTTATGTTACTATGAATCATGGGTGCAGAATATTTTCAAGACCCAAAATTTCCCCAAAATATAAATTTTACCAAAAATTCTTGTACTGTACATTAGCACAAAAATAAAAATTTTATGAATGAATTAATAATTACTACTATATAGTTTGGGAAGTTCAAATTTAATTTTATAAATAATAAAATAAGCCTATTGTATAAAATTTTTACATATGTGAACACAAAAGAATAAAACATTTTATGAAGGGATTAATAATAATTACTATATAGTGTACTGTTATGAACTCTCAATAAGTAGTATTGTACTAATTTAAAATGTACTTCCCCTAGCACAGGAAAATTTCTTACTGCTAAATAAAGTTTGATTTGATTTTGATAATTACTATATAGTTTGAGATATTTTAGTTAAATTCTACAAATAATTAAATTGGTCCACCATATAATTTCTGCATAACACTAAACTGATATATAAATGTAAAAACTTTTTAGATTAAAAAAGCACTTTAATTTAAGCATGAATCATCATCATAGGATGGCATATACAATTATAAACTTGATGAATTCGATGTTGATTAATGGAATTAAAATTCAAGTCAAATGCAACAGGCATCACTACCAATGCCTGAATATGATACTTTTAGTGCATGATACTAATTAATGAACTTTTTAACATTCAAAAACTGGATATTTGCTATAGAATTGGAGACTCGTCACTCATACATGCCAAGCACTATAGCCAACACCACTTCACAATGCCTCTCATACTCATAATGTCTGTGCAAACTTGCATTTAGACATTGAATGTTCTAATTTCACTTTCAAAACATGAGTTCTTCCTACATTTTGGTGAATTTTCTCAATTAATGTCTATAAGTTTAGTCAAGATACTACTCCATTTTATTGTAACATTTTCATGGCTATTGCCATAATAATATATTTTATCACAAATTTCCCCCAAACTGCATTCATATGATTGAATATATTCTGCACCCCATCATGAACATGTTCAAAATCCTTGTAGGACAGTTCAATTTCTTTGGAAAGTTATTTTAACAGTTATTTTAAAACTTGGTAACTAAACATTGCTTTTCTAGTATATTAAATTTAAATAATCTGAAGATATCAAAATGCTATTTATAAAATTTTTAAACAATTGCATTTATCATCATATTATCTAAGAATTTTAATAATTTGGTTTCATGTATTATTTAGAATTACTAATGGTAATGATAATAAATATATAGATGTAATTATCATCATCATTAATGGTCAGTAATCATTGAAGTATTTCTTCATATCAGTTTAAATGGTTTTGTTATATAATTTCACTTTATATTGTAGTTTATATATTATTATGTTCCGTATCAAGTTGATGTGATTAAATGATTGTTATCTAATTATGATTATGTATAGAAAACAAAAATTATTCAGAAGAAATTAGTTAAATATCAGAGGGAAAAATCATATCTTATATACCCTCTAAAATTTGAACATTAAGTTAATTATAATTTATTTTGTTAAATCTTGTATTCAGTTTTGCATATTTTATGTGAAATAATTAGATTTAAAAAAAAACACAAATTACTAAAATTGTGTGACAAAAGAAATGATTCTTACTAAATTATAAAAACATTTAAGATACGGTAAAATTTCGTAAAAAGTTATTTGAGATAATGGTTTCAGACTCTAAGTTAGTATTATAGTATGAATATCATAATAAAGTCATTGCTATTTTCATTGTAATTATAATCAATCTTCTCTTTTTACATATGTGTAAATGTTATCAACTACAAGTTTATTTTAATAATATTAGATTGTTGATTGGTGTACAAATGCATGTGGCCAATAAAATATGATAATGTATTGGCTGAAAATAAATTTTAAAAATTTTTAAACTACTATTAACTTTAAAACCACTCATCATATATATTTTTCTTTAGATTAAACAAAAGACAGACATGTGCTAAATAAAAATTAAAAACAACAGGTGAATACCACATTAGACTTTCAGATGAAATAGCAAATCTACACATTTTAGAACTCTATTAAAACAATGTAAAAGGAAAGGAATTCATGGGTAAATGCTTTCTTACATGTAGTGAAGTCATGAGAAACTTTTATAAGCAATTAGAAATGCAACAATAAATCACCCTAATTTAAAAGAAAACATAAATATGTTGTAGATCCAGTTTAATATATTACACTGGACAACAAAAAAAAATGTTTTTGAATGTTTCCTTTATTACATGACTGAAATCTTACTAATTTTGGGGTGAGAAAATTGAATATGACAAGGAAAAATTTTTATTAGTTCTAGTTTCTGTGGTATATAATATTATAATAGGTGATTTTAACAGCATAAGAGAAAACGATACATTTTAATTACATATGCTAATAACATTGAAAGTGCTTTTGAATTTTTTTTAAATTACAGTAACATTCTAAGAGTTCTAAATTAATAGAAGAATACCTGGCAGGTGGTTCGGTGTGAAGAGAATCATGTGGTGACTTTATGAGATCGTGATTATGGCTTGCCTCTTGTGAGTTCTGGTGCATCCCTACACACAGACCAGCAGTAATCTGCAAACATTGCTTCATTCCAATGGCCCTGATATCTTTCTTCCAATACAGAAATATCCTGGTGGAATCTTTCCCCATGTTCATCATTGACAGCTCCACAACTAGGAGGGAAAAAATCTAGGTGGGAATGGAGAAAATGGATTTTGAGGGACATGTTGCATTCGAGTTGATGATATTTTTCCAGAAGTATTGTCACCGAGTGTAGTTATTGTCTCCTTTGTTGCCTAAGAATCCACAAATAGCTCCCTTTAAGGCTTCCCAAGCTTCCTTTTCTTTTCCCTCCAAAACTTGGTCAAACACGGGATCCTTTACAAATTTTCGAATTTGTGGCCCAACAAAAATACCTTCCTTAACCTTTGCATCACTCAATCTAGGAAATTTGTCTCTTAAATACTTAAATGCCTGTCCTTTCTGGTTCATACCTTTGACAAAAGTTTTCATTAAACCCAGCTTGATATGAAAGAGTGGAAGAAGAACATCTTTTGAGTCCATGAGAGGCTCGGCAACAATATTTTTCCTGGTAGAGTCAAGATTTCTTGCAGGCTAGTCTGCTTGAATGTAATGTAATTTCCTATCCCTACTGTCCCACATACATAAAAAGCAACAGTATTTAGTGTACTCCAGTTGCATTCCTAAGAGTACAGCGATGACTTTTAGATCGCCACATATTTTCCACTTGTGCTCAGCATAATTGATTGAGTTAAGGAGGGCTGTCATGTTTGCATAAATATATATTCTATAATAGAGTGTAGTTTTATTATATGCTGATCTGAGGAGTTTACAGAAAAAATGCCAATGAAAATTTGAAATAATTGAAGATGCACTATTTTGTAATGAAACATTTTTTTTACAAATTTTACTATAAAACCTTTCTCATATATTTTGTATTATTTAGATTACGTCAATCATTTTAAATTATAATTTAAAATGAATAAAAGTTTTAAATCTTTCGCGGACCACTGATTGGGAATC